TCCAGGTGGAAGTGGCAAAGTCCAGTGACAATCCAATTAGAACGTTAGTGTTCAGTATCCAACACAAGCAAAATAGCCTGAACAAACAGGCGTACAAAGAGCCCAAGGATACTTAGATTAATTATCATCATTCACTTGAATCTCACTTGAATTGTAGGGTATTATACTTGGATTGTGGCTATCAGAAGAGAGATTATTCAATTCTCTTTCTGGAAATGTGTACCTCAAGGATATGTTAGATGTCAAACAGATTGTTTTAAAAAAACTGACCACAATTCTCAGATATCGCAGAAATGCTTAATCCCACAGAGGACTCTGGTCTGAGATTGGTAAATGTTGTTAAAATAATGTTTAAAACTACAAAGAGTAAATTTGCTAGCCCAGATCATCAGTGTACACAGGTGAAGCTGCAACACAGAACCCTTTGGAAGATGATTCATTTTATAGAACCATAGAAATCTTGGTCCCCTCCTCTTCAATATCTATATGCTCCCTCTTTGTGACATTCTCCGCAGACATGTGGTCAACTTCCACATGTATGCATGCGGATGACACCCAACTCTACCACTATGCCTCCACCCTTGTCTCCAGGACCACTGTTGTCCTGACAGAATGTCCGTCAGACATCAAGTTCTGGATGAGAACTTTCTTCAGTTGAACGTCAACAAAACCGAGGCTCTCCTGATTGGCTCCCGTCGGCATCTCCTCACCTCAGGCACTGACAACATCGCCATCCATGGTTGCACACTCCACCTCACTAAGCCAGTCCAGAACCTTGGCATCATGTTTGACCCTCAACTATCCTTTTTACTCCACATCCGTACCATGACCTGCTCTGCCTTCCCCCACTTCCGCAACATCGCCCAGCTCCACCACTGTCTCACACCGCAGGCCGCTGAAACCCTCACATATATTCTCTTACATCGAGACTTGACTATGCAAACTCCTTGCTCGTCGGCCTCTCCAACTCTTCCCTCCATAGGCTGCAAATCATCCAGAACTCTGGTGCGGGAGAGGACATGGCTGCAGACTCTGTGACCCTATCAGTCTCATCCTCACTGGCTTCCCATCACACAGAGGATACAGTTCAAGATCCCGGCCCTCACCTTGAGAGCCCTCCATGGTCTTGCTCCCCACTACCTCTGCGACCTCCTAACCCCCTACCATCTTGCCTGCTCCCTCCACTCAGCGGACTCTGGCCTGCTTCATGTCCCCCACCTCGCCCACACTCACCCTCTGAACTCCATTCCGCAGGCTCTCCACCACATCCCCTCCCTTGCCTCCTTCAAGACCCATCTCAAGACCCTCCTCTTCAACCATGCTTTCGATCACCCTACTTCACCCCCTGTCCTCTACCCGCCCCAATCCCGACCACCAGCACGGTCCGAAACTCAGTGTCCAACGCCTTGGGACGTCCTCCCGACATGAAACCCTATACAAATATAATTTTGTTTTTGTTACAGCATAGGAGAAAGCCATCGTACTTGTGCTGGAATTCTAGAGTTACCTATTTAGTCCCATTCTCCAGCCTTTTCTCCATATCCTTTAATATTTCTCAGATACATTTGTTTAATATAGCTTGGCACCATTATATTGCAGCATCTGTGTCCACATACTCAAACCCTCAGATAAAAAAGTGTGACTAGCCGCTTTCCAGGTTACCACTGACAGTAATTCCTGCACGTTGTAGACCGTATTAACTATAGCCATAATATGTTCATAATTCTGAAACTAAATTATGCTGAGAGAATTTGGTTTAGCAATGGTGTAATTTTTATTATCTTTTAATGCTGATTGGGTTATATACGGATATTCAGAGCCTATGAAATCCCAATCACAGAATTCATCCAGATTTTTTGGAAAACATTTTGAAGCATCAACTCAATATAAATTACAAGACAGCTACATCGTAACTAGCTTACGTGTCCTCCGGACTTGTGATTACCAAAAATGCAATACACTTCTAACTTGGACTGTCCCCAGTGGTTGCAAATGTACAGGCTAGTCCATGCCAGAAGTTATGTCAGCAGCAATCTGACAAAACAGAGACAGAATCAACAGCCATTATCTACATGGACCATTAGTAAGGAAATATATTAGCTTTCCTGTAGGGAGAGGGGGGGGGGGGGGAAATCAGTGAATTGTATGTATAACGTTACTCCATGGAATATTATTTACTGAATTATGTTTACTTCCTAGAAATGTTTATGGGACATTCCTGTTGAGATGTAGCAACATAGCATTTATTTACTCGCCGTGTAAAATCTTCAATAGGTTTTAAACCAATTAGGCCCTACCTAAAATGTAAGTCATTACATTATTAACAGAAAGAACATTTCTTCACCAAAGCTGATATAACACATATCTGAAATTTAATTTGTAATGTTCTAAATAATTATCTCATTGTTTGGTTATTTTCGATAGCCCTCCCCTTTCCTTTGGATCCACTTTTTTAAAAAAAAGTCACCTTTCAAATCACATTAGTTGTCATGCAACAAATATAGTTCATGAATTCATGGATACAAACCACCTGAAGTATGCAAATGACAATCTTACACACTGGTGATGGTAAATGTGTAAAGTGACAGGTGAGAAATAACAGAAGACCACTTTCAATGAGATGAAACTTCATGCGTTTGTCATCAAATACAGAAAAGGTTTATTTAATAAGCAGTCAGGCTTATTCGTGTTACATGACTATCCTAAAAATGGGTCACTATCATTTGAAGATGAATCATTACTCTGACGTCCACAGAAATGTTTAGATCACAAGAAGAATCAACTAACAACTTTAAACATTCTGAGGTGTAAATTAGGATGCAGCAGAAAGAACTACACTATGTAGCTATAAAGGCCACAAAGAAAATCAATAACCAGAGAAAGTTATTTGCACATATTCCTACAAAGAAATGAAACTGACTCAATATCCTCCTCTGAGACTGCTGAATTAGGTAAATAATATTTCCAATCATAAATACATACACAATATAAAACGTTTTTGATATACATTGGTATAATCACAATGTTTCATTAAGACTGTATCTACAATGAAGAGAATAGATACACTATAATTACAGCACATATCAACATCTCTTATCAAGAGAAACGACCCTTCAAATAACAGTTTTCAAGTCCAGATTAGTGACCGTGCAACAAACCAACATCTTCTTTGAGATCTGACAATGCAAGCCAACGGATTTCATGCAGAACACTTGGTATCAGATCAACCTTAATAGATAGATTCTAGCCCTTCTACAGTTCACCTCAAATCCAAAGTACACAAATGGAAAATGCAGCAGTGCAATGTCACTAACTGTAACCTGGGAAATATCAAAATAGATGGTGACACTATACGTATGTATACTATTATAAATTTGTCGTGGTCCACTTAGCAAAGCAAGCTTTTTTTTAATATAAATCAACCTGCGTGGCACACTGGTAAGAAATTAGCAGGCCTTTCAGCAGTGTGGGATATAAGTATTTAGAGCTGCTTTCAATAAATGAAAGCCATCTGACAGGATGTGGAGTCAGCATTGAGTTCCATTGTGCGGTGCTAAGCTGATGTGATCCCCAAACCCTGAGTGTCAATCTATAAAGTGATCTTAAATTCCAAGTACTGTCCTGTGGAGTGCTGAACAGTTAAGCAGCTAGTTCCAAATACCTGTGAAAAGAACAAAATGTATGTAGTATTTATTTACAACAAAGTGCACAACTAACATTGCCATTTTATTTAATAATCAGAAAATAGTTTGCACATTTTTCTAAAGCAGTAAAATATTATCTTATTGCAAAATTGTAGAGAAATACTTAATTTTGAAGTTTACATATTTACACAAAGATGAGGAAAGCAACATGTGAACATGTGACAGTACAAATTTATTTGGTGCAAGCACAATATATTTACTTACCTTAATTAACAGCTGATTTGATTAACCAGCTTTTGTGTCCATTTTTTTCTCTTTCATGCCAGTCCTCCATCCTAATTTCACATACAATTTGTAAATTTTCAGCAGATTGACTCCAAGATGATTTTTGTTAACTTCTGAAAGATTCCTCCACGTGATTCCTTTTTCTTCAGTTAATCCTTAGGGTCCTGCTTTCATGCAGATATTCATAAAGAAAGTGACTAGCACTGTGCTACATTTTTATGTTTTTTTATGAAAGATTAACATTGCCGTAGTATTTAATGAAGACACTATGGAAATGCTACAGAAAGTAAGCTTTCATAACGAGACAATCAGCACCAGCCAGTGATGTTGCACAATAGTATGAATGGCTCAGAGATGAAGTTTGTTAACTTCTGGAAAATACCTCCACATGTGAATCCTTTTTCTTCAGTTAATCCTTAGAGTCCTGCTTTCATGCAGATATTCATATTGAAAGTGACCAGCACTGTGCGACATTTGTATGTTTTTTCATAAAAATTAACATTACCGTAATATTCACCGAAGAGACTATGGAAATGCTACAGAAAGTAAGATTTCATTACGAGATAATCAGCACCAGCCAGTGATGTTGCAATAACGTATTCAACATTTGATGATGTATTATGATATATAAACATGGCATAAATATTCATTGTGCCTAAAAAAATCTGTTTAGCATATAAGTATCTATAGCACTGAATTTTACTCCAGTTAAAGCATAGGCTGTGTAATAGTTTCGTGTCAGAATATATACAATTACTTACATAGACTGGATCAGTCCACTAATGATTGGTTCAGCTGATGTGTTTTGTCCACAGGCAGAATGAGTTTACTGTTGATTTAAACTCAAATTTGAAAATGTAACTTTGCATTGAAGCTGCTTAAATCTGCTGCTAAATTGGTGTGAAAACTACCGAGACTCAGGAAACAGCCCATTCAGCTTAATACTGATATTATGCACATATACATTTCCATAAAATTATAATATCCTTAGGTCTCCAGATAGAAAAAAAGACAGTGAGAAACTATCATTTATGTGAATTTAGAGGAGTAAAAAAAATGAATAAGTCTTACTTCCATTCCTCTTTTAATAAAAGGTATTTGAGTGCCACTGTCGAGGTCTTCGTTGATTATTAATCGTCTGGCCCACTGTCCAGCTCGGACAACCCCACTACCATGAATCAAAACCATCAATTTTTCAGGGTTAGTTAATGCATCTTCACTCATAAAGATGAAGTTCTTTGGTTCATCGTCTGTAGCATCCACCTGAGATTAAAAACAAGCAGAAGAAATTAAAGTAAAAATTTATACCTTTGTGACATAATGGCAAATAAAAGCTTGTTTTGGTCAACTGGGTGTCTAACATAAGTGGAAACACAAAATAAAACAGGAATATATTTAATAATAGACTGTACACATTCAAAATTAAAACTTGCATAAGTCTTATCTTTATAAATCGTACAATCACCTAAGTCGTACACCCACCTGAGTCCCATTCAGTTTCTTATCAAAAATACTTAAGATTTTGTTGCACTCGTCATATTAATCATCTCCTAACTCGTAACGCCACTCTCCATCCTCCATTACTCTCACACTTACTGGCTGCATTCAATCGTGGAAAATGACCATCCTGACCCTTCTCCACACTTACTGGCTGGCTGCAAAGAATGGCGGAAAACGTAGTCTTGATCTGTCGACCCATGCACAGAAAAACTTAATTTCCCGCGATTCACTGCTTCCTGGTAAGTGCACAGGCGGTGAGGGGTGAACAGTGCACTGAATTGTGGAAAATGTAATCTTGACCCGTCACAGGCTACAGTGATGAACTACGTGGAATTCATATTAAACGTTTTGGTCCCGACTGATACAACTTGTGTGTGGTACTGTATAACTAATAGATGTATCAGATAATAAAGAATTGCCCCCAATTAATTTGATTTTTAACTGGAATAAAACATATTATAATTTAAATTTCATTGTTTCACAGATGTCTTTGAAAGCGTTTCCAATTCTTGATACCAAAAATGTTACAGTGAGTCACTCGTCGACACAACATTTGAATAATCTATGGTACAGTTATTTCAAAAAGACGGTCAAGACCAAAAGGCTTAGTATGAGTGAGCCAAACAACAATGGAAACAAAACAATGACCTGATGGGACCCTTTCTACAGCTCTAATGAACAGTAAAGTCTTTACTTAGCAGAGCAGCAATTCTCCACATTGTAGACCTACCCAACTTTACTGCGAGAATTACGTTTTCAGGGAGTAAACGGGAAACACTGGCTCTTCTATTTGTTTCTCTTACAAATACATCCAATAAGGCAGTTATACTCATTTAAACCCTGTTCAATGTAATCCCTTAATAGTTTGCATGTATTAAGGCGACAGTAACATTTTGTAGTCACAACTGGTAGTAAAACGAGAAAATTAATTTTTCTTCATGATACAAACTGCCTGGACATTTTGTACTTTGGCGGTAAATTGTTGTCCAAAAGAATCTGCTTTTGCATGCTTTCTCTTCAGCATAAATCACAGAATAGGCATTGCATACATCAGCTTTGACTCTTCATGAGAGCAGAAATACATAAAGCATTTGACTAAAGATTGGTTTGTGGCCTATCACTGGCCTATTTAGATAGATCCCTACCTAGTTAGATAAGGATATGCAGGAAATACATTTTCTGACTTTTAGCAACTTCCTCTGTTATGAACAATCTTAAAATTCGGTGATAGAATTTGTGCCTTTCAGGCCTGATAGGCTATGGCTCTCTAAAGTTCACAGATACTGAAGAACCTTGGCTTATCCAGGCAGCTACCAATTCTGTAGTTGTGTCCCATAAGTAAATTGCAAAGCAGAGCTTCCATTCTCCAAAAATAACTGAAGCATTTTGAGGCCACCAGAATATATATTACAAGATACACTTACCGGGAGATAAACCTTTTTCAAATTACATTCTTTTTCTAAAAGTTCATAAACATGTTGGGTGATAATCTGCAAAATACAAAATATTGGCATTATTATTTACAATATCAATAGTCTGCAATTAAATTATTATACAAGACAAAAAATGGATATAAATATTATATAGTATCTACAGCAATCAGTCTGCATTTGATTAAAATTGGCCTAAAATGTAACAAATGCAAACCCTGATATTTTCTTGTTAGGTTATACACAATAAATGTGTTATGGTAATTAATTCCACCCTAGAAAGACATTGACTTGGCAGTACGTGTATGAAAATCCATTAACTGGGCAAGTGTTAAGTATTATTATATTGTCAAAGGTATCAATTTAATGTTAATGGGGAATTAAAATCTAGAAAACAGTAACATTTCCAAGGTAAAATACGCTGTGCCTTCGTATAGTGTTTATCTGAGGGGAAATCTTATCTTTTGACAGGAGCAGGTCCACCAATTGGTAAGGCAAGGCTAATGCCTTTTACGTGAAAATGACCCATTGCAATCCTGACATCTGTGAAAGAGGCACTAACAATCAGCTCATTGAAATGCTGTGGAGAAAATACCACCAAAACGAAACACACCAAAAGTCTGTGCTTCAATCATCTGATTACAACAACAACTGGCATTTATATAGCACCCTTCACGCTGAATAGCGTCCCAGAGTGCTTGACAGTGGCGGACTCTGACACCAAGAATTCAAACAGCTAATTTTTTTCCCTTGTAGGGCTGGTGAGAAAGAATACAACGACAACAAAAAAATTACATTTATATAGCACCTTTCACGTCGGGAGGACATCTCAAGGCGCTGGACAGTCAGAATTTCGGACCTGAGCTGGGATTTGGGATGGGGGAGGGTGGTGGACAATGGGGGAAGCATGGTGATCAAAAGCATTGAATAGGAGGATCTTGAGATGGGTCTTAGGGGGGCAAGGGAGGGACGAGGCGGAGCGATTGTGGGATCGAGTTGCAGAGGGAGGGGCAGAGTGGCAGAAGGCCCACCCGCCAATAGTGGGCCGAGCGAGGCGGGAGGACGTGAAGGAGGCCGGAGCCCACTGAGCGGAGGGAGCGAGCAGGATGGTAGGGGTTCAGGAGGTCGCAGTAGTAGTGGGGAGCAAGATCATGGAGGGCTTTGAAGATGAGGACCAGAATTTTGAACTGTATCCTCTGTGTGATGGAAGCCAGTGGAGTCGGATGAGGATGGGGGTGATAGGGCCACAGAGCCAAGAGGGCACGTGCTGCACAGTTCTGGATTATCTGCAGCCTACAGCGGGAGGAGTTGGGGAGGCCGTTAAGCAAGGAATTTGCAAAGTCAAGCCGCGATGTAACAAAAGTGGGTAAGAGGGTTTCAGCGGCTTGGGTGTGAGACAGTGGTGGAGCCGGGCGATGTTGTGGAGGTGTGGAAGGTAGAGCGGGTCATGGCACAGATGTGGGGTAGAAAGGATAGTTGAGGGTCAAACAAGACCCCAAGGTTCTGGATTGGCTTAGTAAGGTGGAGTGTGCAACCATGGATGGTGAGCTGTCAGCACTTGAGGTGAGGAGGCGCTGACGGGAGCCAATCAGGAGAGCCTCAGTCTTGTTGACGTTCACCTCAAGAAGGTTAGCTCTCATCCAGGGCTTGATGTCTGACAGACATTCTGTCAGGACAGCAGTGGTCCTGGAGTCAAGGGTGGAGGCAGAGAGATAGGAGTTGGGTGTCATCCGCATACATGTGGAAGTTGACTCCATGTCTGTGGGCGATGTCACAAAGTGGGAGCACATAGATATTGAAGAGGAGGGGACTAAGGACAGAGCCCTGAGGAACGCCGCATGAGACGGTGCAGGGCTAGAGGAGAAACCGCTTGTGGAGATGAAGTGGAGATGGTGTGAGTGGTATGAACTGAACCAGTCAAGGACAGACCTGTGAGAGGAGATGGTGGATGAGGGTAGAGTCGTCGACGGTGTCGAAGGCAGCAGAGATCAAGGAGGCAGAGGGAGCCCTGGTAGCAGATGGACAGAATGTCATTTGTCACTTTGACCAGGGCTGGTTCTGTGCTGTCGTCGGGGTTCATGAAGGGAGTGGCGGGAGAGGAAGGAGCAAAGCTAGGTAGCAACAACTCATTCCAGGACCTTGGAGAGGAAAGGAAGGTTGGAGCTGTGGCGGTAGGTTGAGAGTAGAGGGTCCTGGGAAGGATTTTTTAAGGATAGGAATGATGATGGCAGAATGGGGTGGGAACAGTACCAGAGGACAGGGAGAGGTTTATGATGTCTGTGAGTAGAGGGGCAAGGAGGTGGAGCTGGGAGGTAAGGAGAAGGGTAGGGATGGGGTCGAGGGAGCAGGTGGTTGGTTTCCTGCGGGTCATTGTGGTGGTGAGAGAGGTGTGGGAAACAGATTTGAAGGTGTGGAGGGATGGGTAGAGGGCGGGGTGGGAGGGGGTGATGGGGAGGGCGTAGCAGACGGATTGGAAGAGGCAGTTGAGTGGATCCCCACAACTTTGGATTCGAGGAAGTCCAGCATCGCCTCGCAGTTGGGATTTGAAATAAGGATGGGTGAGGTGTGAGAGTAAGCGGAGGAGCCAGTTGGTGATGGAGAAGAGGAGCCTGGGGTTATCCTTTGCCTCCAAGATTGTCTTGGAGTAGAACGACGATTTAGTGGCAGCGAGGACGAGCTGTAAGATTTGATCAGGTCCAGCCAGATCTGCCGATGGACCATTAAATTTGATTTAAGCCAGGTGTGTTCAGCAGCACGCACCTGTGCTTTAAGAAAGCGGAGGAATAATTGGGTGTCATAAGAATAACAACCCAAATTAAAATGGCTGTTCCTGTCCTGTCACAAAGAATACATTTTGATTGAAAAACAGCTCAATAGGAAATGTACTATATAAAAAACTAGAATATTTTATTTATTATTATATTTATTATTATTTATTATTATTATAATAAACTATTATATTTATTATTATAAACCCATAGCAAAAATTGTGCAAACATCACAAAAATCTGAGGACATAAAGTGCATCTAATGCAGGAAACCCCCATGTTGACTGCACTCACTGGCAAGCTCTGACCCCAAATCACCCAATAGTAAAGTAAATGTCAATAGTAAATGTCATGGTTAACATGACATACATGGCCATGCAAACTTTTTCAGGGATGTCAAGTAATTTTCCCAATACTTGGGCCCTTTACATTGTGATTTTCACATTCAATTGCTCCTTCAACCTATTTTCTTCAAATTAAAAAATACAATTTTATTTTAAGGCAAATAAAAATATTAGGCAAGAGTCTTTTTACTGGGAAATTTTTGATTTCTTATACTTAATTTCCCTGTCAACTCATTTGAGATTTCATGTACAAACATCAAGTTAAACAGAGAAATGTACAGAAGCAGGTTTTGGTATGCCATCTTTTTGGGGCTATCCCAGTTATACATATTGTTATTAAATGAGCAAACGTAGCCGTATCATACAAAAAGTTGTTTATATTCAAGACAAAACTCACAACACACTAAAATGGTATCTTACCATTTTGACTGTTTATACAAAACAGAAAAAATACACGCGTTCCATTGCAATGTAATTAGTGAAACTGATTCAATGGCTAAATAGCCAATTGATATTGAGAACACAATAAGGTCCTGTGTACACAAAATAAAAGCATTTGGCTTGTGGTAAGAGGAGGAAGTTTTATTTGTATTGCCTTAATAATTTACAGGGTTCCTCAACAATGTTCAGTTATTATCTGTTTGAATCTGAATATTATGAATCTGTCAGTTGCACTCTTGCCTCAGAAGGTTGTGGGTACAAATTCAGATTGGAGGTTGACATCATAATCTCGGCAAACACGCCAATGCAGTGCTATTGAACGCTGCACTGTCATAAGGACCACCCTTCACATGAAACGTTAAAACCAAGCTCCATTCCATCAGTTGAGATGAATGTTAAAGATCCCACATCTCTATTCAAAGGGAGAAGAGCTTATACCTATTGTGTAAGGTAAACCAGAAGCTCAGTTAGCTTTTTAATTTACCTTGGCTTTTTAGAAGGGTTTTAGAAAGATGCTGCAAACCTTTGTTGATCAAACCCTTTCAGTTCCTAACTCTATTGTAGTGATACTATGGTTACGGCTCCACTGAACCTCCTTCCCGTGTTCCAAATATACTAAGCTACTTTTTTCCTGAAATCAAAGCCACACAAAACTCCTACCCTTGCGGCTGACACATTTGCTACAAATGTACAGTAACTACTCATTACAGAAACCTCTGTGCAGCACTTTGAGATGTTTCAGTGAAATTAAACACTATATTATACGCAAGGATTATTATTATTACTCTGATGCTTCCTTTCCCAAAACCTCAAAAGTCTAGAACTCATCTCATTCATTCCTTCCACAAAACCCAAATTTGCCATAATTATAGCTTTACTTTTTATTATTACTCCCACTCTTTTGCTTTTATTATTAATAATTCTTGCATTTACATAGGATATAATAGTCTGCAGTGTGTATTTTGTAAGTGAATGTCTTGATTAAAATGTTGCATCTCAGTTTCTTCATTTAAAAATGCTTGCTATACTATACAAAATATTGAACTTTAAGCTACACTGGCAATAACACTTATAAATGAATCAGACTTAAACCATTCCATGTTCAATGAAGTCATCATTAAAATTTTCCACACTCTTTTTCATGATTTCCTTGCAAACCCCAAAGTGTTTAATAACTGTCCAAAATTATTAATATGGTTAAAAAAATTACATTTGTATAGCATCTCTCATGTCAGGAGGACGTCCCAAGGCGCTGGATAGTCAGGGATCTGCACCCGAGCTGGTGGTTGGAATCAGGAGGGGTGGAGGGGGGGAGCTAAGAGGGTGACCATTGGAGTGTAAAAAATAATAGATCTCATCTAATACAATCCTAGTTGCAATATCAGCTTCAAGGGAATTGTTTACATTCTGTAAACAGTGAATGCAAATTATAAATTGCAAGCAATCAGTAGATGCAAGATGTGCTTACCCCCAGAGCATTCTGTTAGGAATGCACGTACAATATAAA